GACAACGCATCTGCATTTTGATTTGTAATAGAGGATAGATGTAGATGTCTATGGGCTGCAGTAACCACTTACCATCAGGTGGACTGTGTGCTCGTGTGTCACCTTTATCCTATAAAAAAAAAGCTAAGATATAGGTATTGAGGATAATCTACGTCAGATCAAATAAGATAAATTTTAAATTTGCGCATGTAGTACAGTGGTGGCGTAAAAGAATCCGCTACTCCATTAACATCTCATGGGTGGGGTAAAAAGTGACTGAAGAAAATAAGTCAGAATAACGGCAGCAGTATCTTCATATTAACAACTCAAAATAATAAAAACTGCTGATGCCACCCCGGCTGTTGATCTCGGAAATTTTAGCAAATGTTTTCCCCTCCCTTCTCTTCCTTTCTAGAGGAGACATTTGTTTACCACTCGCTCTTTATAGGTAACAATAAAAGAAATAATTCTCGTAAAGAACACTTATCCCTGCCATAGAGCCCCTTGAATTTAACAATATTTAATTACAATAGGAAATGTGTCTGGGTTTTCGAACCCCGACTTGGATCCTATGATGAACAAAATTAAATGCAAACCCAAGCATACCACTGCAATACATCAAGATACGGTGAACCAATAGTGGAATAAATTGCCATCATCTTTCCTATATATTATTATAATATTATTATAATTTTGATCATTGCACTTTCCGCTCTGAACGGGTTCCCGCCTTATCGTGGCGGGTACTTAATAGTCGTGACTTCGTCACCCGAGGTGAACTACTAGAAACCCATATGGCTGACCCGAGATGAAGGGCCAGTTCATCGGTGGTCACTCCGAGTGTGCTTGACGAGGCCATCGGATGTTTGTTGGTGGGCTGCGTCGAGAGGGGTGTCCCCTGCCCTTACCGCTGCAGCCGAGGTGAAGTTGCGGGGGCAGAAGTGCGTTGGTATGGCGATGCCCCATTCGCCTTATTCGTAGTGACTCTGGTGGAGCCGCACCGTTAATGCAGTGGTGTTGGGAAGAGGAGTGTCGGTATTGCTTGCGAGGCGCCTCTCTCACTAACCTCCGCGGCCGAATTTTGGTTGGCGTCCGACGCCAACCAAAATTCGGCTTAGACTAGATCCACCGCGGGGGTCAGAAAAGCTAGTGCTGTTGAGTGTTTTCCTGGCCCTATGGCCTATGGAGAAGAGGGAGGAGTAGTCCTCTTCCAAGAGGGGCCGCAATGGGGCGGCTAGCGCAGGTGGGATCGCGAATGAGTGCAAAAGCATTCCCGTAGCCTTGCCAATATGTAGTGCAAGACTGACCTAGTCCTAGCCCACGCGAGACAGGTATGTGGAGGCATTTCCCCAAGGTAAAAAAATTCATTGCGCTTTAGCTTCTTCAGCTGCATCCCCACTTACCATCAAATGTGACAGTAATCAAGCACTGGTTTATACTAATAACAAAAAAAAAACTTATTCAATGTAGAATGGCGTAATTAAAAGTTGAAATGTGAAGGTATCCTTAACTACTGAAATATCCAGATCCAAGCAGCAGTGTCAAATGTGCTAATCTTTTTTTTTACTACGATCGTCAATCCACCTGCTAGGTGTAGCAATAATAGTAATTCTCACTACAAAGGGAGAGGTCTATATTCAACAGTGAACTTTTATGGGCTGCTTAAAAAAAGAAGAATGTGGTTTTAATAGACTGATATTTTTAGAGTTTCCATTAACGATAATAACATTACAAAATTCATTTTTCCACCACATTGCTTTCTAAATTTAAAACCTTCAGAATATAAAATTAGTAACGCTGAAATCCCGACAATGTGTAAATTTATTATCATACTATTTTATTGAAAGTGACGTGATTACGAGTCTCCATATATCATGAGTCCCAAGGTGTTCGACGAATATGGCGGTATAGGTCAGCTGATTAGGATGAGATGCGACACTTTTTGCAGCCTATCCTTGGCGGGAGGTCTTTTTCTCTTTTGCGGATCCATCGAACTGCGCAGATACGATAGCCGATGTGTTGCGTCAAGCTATGGAGTATTTTATCACCTTCTCTGACGCTCCCACCGGTCACAAAGCTCGCTCATGGTTTAACGCTGAATACGCCCAAACTGAAAAGCGCAAGCATTTAGTGTATCTACCCTGAGTTGATGCTCGAAACCTCAAAGCTCCGGATATTAGCTCCAAGAAGAGAAATTTCAACCAGGCCGCCAAGTCCTACAAAAAAGGATTACGGAAAGCTAGTCTCGATCGCATTAAACATATTAGCGCAAAACTCTCTACCAGACCATCTGGCACTAGAGCTTTTTAGGCTCTCGGCAAAGCGATCGAGACAAACTTCTGTCGGCCTACACTGCCTCCGCTGGTAAAACCGGATGGTTCACTGGCGCATACAGCTAAAGAGAAAGTGGACTTGTTCGTGTCTCTCTTTGCCTACAATTCACGTCTGGACAGTGGCAACAACTTTCCACCTAAATTATCCCACTGCGGGACCTCTATGTCGGAGGTCCGTATCAGAAATAAGGAGGTTCTTAAAACCTTGCGGTGTCTAGATGTGAATAAAGCTAGTGGACCAGATGGTATATCAGCTATAGTTCTAAAGGCTTGTGCACCTGAGTTGTCTCCTGTGCTAACACGCTTGTTCCGCCTTTCATTTAGGACTGGAATAGTGCCAAAATCCAGGAAGCTGGCCAACGTGCAGCCTGTTCCAAAAAAAAGGCAGCCGTGCCGACCCTGCCAATTATAGGCCAATCTTAATTACCTCCATACTCTGCAAGATTATGGAGGTAATTGAGATTGGCCGATAATGTTGTAAATTTTGTAGACTTAGTTTTATTGCCATTAAAATGTAAATTTATCGTCAAACCAATATACTAATTTTGATGTAGTATCATATCATTTGATGTAGTATATTATTCATTTCGTCATACTTAAACGATTAATGTTTTAAAATCTATGACGTAATATATACGCTACAAGATAAGATCGTTATTATAGACTAAAAATAGGAATGGGTCGAGACTTGTACCCCGGGGAACGAAAGTTATTTTACTATTAATAATAACTTTCAGCTTTCTGTTACTTCAATACGAGTATGAAATAATAAGTTAAAGCGTGTTTTGTACACCATAATCATGTTGTTTCTTGATTTACATATGTTTTAAGTAAACACTATCAGAGGGTTAAGAGAGGACACAAATCATTATTAATATTTCTTAATCCATTCGATTTTTGTTAATCCAAATTTATTTTTATGCAGCAATTTATTTAGGTTAAATAAAACTTCTTTCTTTTTTCAAAATTTTACGAGAGGTTTATTGTATAGAAATTGGTCTATCATTGGTAGAGCCTATTGTACTACTAGATTAAAATAATGGTACAGCTTTACTATCCTTTCTCAAATCAGGAAACACACCAGATTCTATACTTGTTTTATAATATTCAAATATCAAAAGTTTTTAAATATTTTACTTGATATTTTGTCAATACTAAATGCATTTTTAAATAAGATTATGGAAGGTTTCTCTCAAAGAAGCTTCCTCTAAGTAGTTAATAAAATATGATTTCGAATAATCGACTTGGTGTGTGTTGGTTGGCTTCATCGTCCGTGGTGTCTAGAGCAAAATAAATCGCCAGTATTTGTTTTCTATCCAACTACATTGTGGGTATCTTCAATGGCCAGAGTTTTTTATTATTATTATTGAAACAGTTTCAAGAAATAGTTAGTCTCTTACAGTTAATAAGTAAATTTATTTTAAAGTAAAGAAAAAATATTATACTAAGAATGTGTTCCTTCGTACTTTTCTCATAGTGCTCTATTAAAGGTGACTTTGTTCTGGTGTTCATTGAAAGCTAGAATAAATGGGCTTTTGGTAAGTTAAATCACAGCGCTTTACCATCTTTCATCATCTACATCATCATTACCGCCCTTCACAACTCCACTGCTGAACATAGGCCTCCCCCAAGGAATGCCACAAAGCACGGTCCTGAGCCACCTGCATCCATCGACTTCCTGCATATCTTACCATCTAGTGGGGGGACGCCCTACACTTCAGGGCCAAGTGCGAACAAATCTGTAGGTATATAAGTTTAAAATTATTAAAAATATTTTTATTACATGATGTAACTAAAAATTTATTTCTTTCGCAATTTTTCCTTTATCTGTGTTGCTTCGTACCAAATTTTAAGATTCTGAGTTCACGGGAAGTACCCTGTAGATTTTGATTTCCTTGCGAATGTTGAAAATTTGCGGCATAAACGGCTGTATCTTTTGATTGCGTTGGCTTAAAAGTTTGATTTTTTCACAGCTCCGAGGGACAGTAGATTTGAGTATTTGATTTGAATTTCAGCTTGATACCTCCACGCGTTACTGAGAAAAAAGGTCTTGACAGACAGACAAACAGACAATAAAGTGATCCTATAAGGGTTCCGTTTTTTCCTTTTGAGGTACGGAACCCTAAAAAAGATATGTGTGTACATTGGACGAACGTACATCAACACCACGTGGTGTTCTATCTTTTCTGCTGGTTCTGAATATTTAACAGATTATAAATAACAGATATTGATAGTTATTTATGCTTTTCCTACCGCCGTACATCTATCGTAGCCTATAAAAGTCCCTGCTGAATAAGGCCTCCCCCATAGATTGCCTAACCTATGAGGCAATCTATGAGCGAGACCTAAAAATAGTTTATTCAGTAAATTATCATACAAAAAATAGAATATCATGTCTTTTACGTATAATATTATCGCCGTATAAATTTCACTTTCTTAATATATTTATTATTATAGTTATATTAAAGTAAAAATGTAACAAATAACCAATGGATTAACGCGAGTATATCAAATACGCTGAGCAGGCTTTATCAAAACTATAAAAATATAAATTATGATCTATATAGATTATTGATTTTGAGTCATGGGGATTATCTAAAGTACCTAATACCTAGTCAATAAAAATGAACATGCTGACTTGCTCACGTCAGTTTCTAACATTGTTGACCGAAGTGGAACTTGGTCAAAATGTATAAAGTTGCTCTATTATTCGCTCTCTCCTTCTGTTTGGCACTTGCCAAACATGAACAGTACAACGGGTAAGAATATTTTTAAAAATTTGAAATTTTGTATTGCTTAATTAAAAATGTGCATGTTTTTCTAGACCTGGTGGACAACTAGCAGGAAGTAGATGGATGCTGGTAGCTTAGTAGCAGGTTTTGTGGTGATTGTGTTCCGTGGCGCAGTGGCTTAGCAATGAGTTGCTGCGCTGGGGGCCGCGGGTTCGAATCCCGCACGGAACAAGTATTTGTATGGCCTACAAATAATTGTTCCGGGTCTGGATGTTTGTACTCGTGCAATTTATGTTTGTAAACTGCCTCCACGATACAGGAGAAAATCCTAGTGTGGAGGTAACGTTTTTTTTAAACAAACAAAACAAATTCCTTGGGGGATGTTCAGCTGTGGACTTGTGATGGTCTGTTATGATAATGATGATGATCATAATATAAAAATTAAACCAAATTTTCGTTCTTTTTATAGAATAAAAGTAACAAACTAGCACACTGTCTACCTAATGCTAAGTGGATGTTGTGGCCCATAGACATCTACAAATACCCTTGATTAAAATTCAGCTTCGTTTTCACACGGACTAAAATGGAATGTCTCGTTTCCAGTAAAAAACGTCTCCCATTTTTTGTACTCATCATACGAAGCACAGCAGCATTAAGCTGCTATTTTACACTGGCATTCTGTGAGAGCGTAGTCCTTCCCCAGTCAAGAACCACAATATCGCTGCAGCGTGCACTATGTACAAGTTTTGAAGTGTTTGGTTTAAATTCAAAGACAAAAAATCAAAATTAACGGTTAGCTGAAAATAACTGGACAATCCGTATCAATTTTATAACGCAGAGGGGCAAGCATTTCGATGCGAGTTCGAATACCGCACGGAAAAAGTCTTTGTTAAAAATTAAAGTTAAAGCCTGTATACGTCCCACAGCTGGGCACAGGCCACCTCATAATACTGAGACCGTTTTAGGGCAAGGAATTTCCCACCGCGCTGCTTCGGTGCGATCCAAGGTTTTTTACATGTCTTCGATATGTTTAATTTTGAATGATACTATTTATTTAATCTTTTAATCAATTTTAACTAATTATTTTTATTAATTCCCGACGTTTCGGGTGCTTTACAGCACCCGTGGTCACGGGGGACTAAGGTGATTGACGTCCCGATGTCAGAGTTAACCCGGTGTACCTTCAACTTTTTTAATTATTAATTTTGGTCCGATTTACGCAGAATGAACTTACTGTGTCTTGAAGTCTTGTAGTGGTATGCTTGGGTTTAGTTTTAATTTTATTAATTACAGGATCCCAAGCAGGTGGTAGTACCCAGCCTCCCTCTCTATTGAAATGTCTATCTCTATTGGAGGCTGGATTTTTTAAATTAAGAAATTAATTAATTAAATACTTTTCTTTAGATTCGTCTTGTACGAGGTTAAGGTTGCTAATGAACAACAGGCGAGGCGAGTAAATGCATTGGGAAACGAACTTGAACTGGATATTTGGTCGTATGCCGGTCCCACACGTCCAGGTCTGGTCCTTGTACCAGGACCAATGCGTCAAGTCTTCCAGAGGGAGATTACTGCTGCTGGAGCACAATATGAAATTCAAGTAGAAAACATCAAAGAGTAAGTATTTCTTTTTAATTCAAATTTAAAATATAATACAAAATTTTAAATTTACGCAGCGTTCCGTCTCTAGTTTTTTGTTGGTCTAAGCTTACGTGTAAGATATTTACATTAATAGTAAAAACTTTGTTCTACCAACATGTTTTCACTTATACGTAACTTATATACTACTACATTACGCAAATCCAAGTGTAGATAGTTAAATTCACAGATATATAGATAATTCTTTATTGTACACACCACAACACAAAATAAGAGAAAATAAAATACAAAATGTTAAAACGAAGTACGATAAATAATCTAGATTCTTTAAATCTAATAACATACATTAAGTTTAAATATAAGTGAACACTATATCTATGCATTAAATAAAATATAACATATATTATAAATAATACATGTAGCGTTTAAATTATTAAATTTTATATTCCTAATAAAATGCTAAGATTTATTTTATAAAATGATTAAAAGGTAATACGGATTGAGGACGTCCTATTAATAAATTCCACGGACGCACAGGTTGAAAACCAATGACTTGTACAGAAAATTTACATGTGCAGACATTTCCAATTTTAAATACTATATAGAGTTTTAATAGTTCTGTAGAGCCTATGTAATATATGGTAACCTACATAACATATGCATATCATGATTTGGTGTTTAAATTTTTAATTTATATTTTTTTCTCGCAGGATGCTAGATATGGAAGACCGATTGTTGGCCGCAGCTGAACAGCGCAGTAACAGAAGCGACAGTCGCCTCTCGTTTGATGCTATCCACCGATACCAAGCTGTACGATTATTTTTATTGGCTACCGTTTTTTACCAAAAACAAAAAAAAATTTAATAAACCTATTATTTTTTTTAGGTTGATGACTACCTCGTTAAATTAGGCAAAACCTATCCAACAGTAAAAGTTGTTTCGGCGGGGAAAAGTTTTGAAGGCCGTGACATGAAGTACCTGAAAATTTCAACAACTAACTTCCAGGTAAAATCTTATAATTAAACCGAAATAGTAACTTGTGTTAGAACAATTTTAATTTAAAATATTCAATATTTTTCTTTCTTGATTTCAGGATTCTTCTAAGCCTGTGATCATGATTCAGTCACTGCTTCACTCTCGTGAATGGATATCTTTACCTGCTTCTCTTTACGCTATCAAGAAATTAGTTGTTGATATCACCGACAGGGATCTCGTTGATAAAATCGACTGGATTATCTTGCCTATCGCTAATCCCGATGGATATGAATTCACTCACACCAACGTAAGTCTAATCATGATATATATTACTAGCGTCTCGCTAAGATCTGTTAGTGTGGCGTTATTTAGAATTAAGATAATCATCAAAGACCTATTGTATAATTTTTTATAGGATAAGTGTATCAAGCGCGCACACAGTCCACTTGATGATAAGTGGTTGCTGTAGTCCATAGACATTTGCATCTATCCTCATTTGAGGACTAAGATGGAATGCCTCTTTTCCAGTAAAAAGGGTATCCGGCTCTCTACACTCACCAAACGAAATACAGCAGTATTAAGCTGCTATTTTACGCTGGTATTCTGTGAGATCGTTGTCCTTCCCTAGTCGAGCCGACCCATTTGTTAGAACTATACAATTAATATAGCTGCGGCAGCAAAAATCAGTTTTTACAGAACATATAGTCTAGATCTCTCCTAGCGTTTCTCTTTATCCATTAGTAGATTTTTTTTTAATTGCAATTGGTTCAGCGATTCCGATGATTCGCCTAAACAGACAAACAGAAAACATTTTAATTAATATTTAAATAACTTGCATATAACCCCCCTCAGCTCAATAAAAGGCAGTAATTTCAATACAGACACTTCCATTTTATTTGAAAGTATATATATATATATATATATATATATATATATATATACTTATTTTTATATATATATATATATATATATATATATATATATATATATATATATATATATATATATATATGATAATCAAATTAATATCAAATTATTTGCTTTAAATATATCATATTTATCATATTACATTTGCTAAAAATAGCATATCTATTCAGTGAAATGCACTTTTAATATATTATATTGAGTGATAAAATTAATTTTATTTTCAGACACGTTTCTGGAGGAAAAATCGCTCTACAGGTCATATGGTTGGCAATGTATGCCTTGGTGTTGATCTGAATCGTAACTTTGATATCAAATGGGGTTCACAGTCTAGCAGCTCTGCCTGCTCTGAGACTTACCACGGCAAGGGACCTTTCTCTGAACCTGAGACTGCTATTATCCGGAATATCGTACTGGAGCACGTCAACCGACTTGAGCTATATTTTGATATCCACAGCTATGGTAGCATGATCCTTTATGGTTACGGAAACCGCGAACTTCCATCCAATGCCCTCACCCTCAACGTAGTCGGTGTTAGAATGGCGCAAGCGATCGACGCTGTAAAATGGCCTGCGAATCCTAAATACCGTGTCGGAAACTCGGCTATGATCCTTAACTATATGGATTCGGGAACTGCCACCGATTACGTTCAAGCTGTCAGTGTTCCTCTTTCATTCTGTTATGAATTACCAGCATACCGAAATCAAAACACCGGTTTGAACGGTTTCCTTGTGGACCCTGATTTTATTGAACAAGCTGGCTATGAAACTTGGCAAGGAATTAAGGAAGGCGCGAAATTCGTGTTGGAACATCATAGAAGTAACAAGTAATGGCATAAAAAGCAAAAAAGCTAAATAAAAAATTACGAAATATTAACACAGACTTGTCATTTTAAATCATCATTATAATCATCATCATTACAACCAAGCACAAGTCCACAGCTGAACAAAGGCCTTTCCCGAGGAATGCCAAAGCAAGGTCCTGAGCCACCAGCATCCACCAACTCTTACTCCAGGGTCGCGGTCCAAACTTGTGGAGGGTAGTACACCTCGCTTACCGGTACGAGGATGCGGTTGTGGATTGTTTGAGCTATAAGGCCGGCTCATTTTCACTTTAACTTGCTATATTTTCTTAATATTTGCTTTAGTTGACATTTGATCTTGTCTCTCAGATTAAACAAGCGCATAGTGACGGATGATGGACTAATTGAGTTGGCTTAAGTTACTTTTTAATAAAAAAAATTATACATCGTAAAGGAGTACTAGCCCCCTGCAATGCTCGCCGTTCATCCTGCTGACTGAGACATAAGGCTCTTATGCAACTGCCTCTAGGGCATGCAAACTTGTCGGACCAAACAACGAATAAAACAGAACATTTTCCGAGAATGTCAGACTCATTCATAATTAAAGACATAGTCAAGGGTTTAATAAGTTTGAATGGCTCTAATATTATCTACGCAAAAAAAATCTAAGCGCGTAACTTAGCAAGTTAGATTTTTTTAAAGGATAGGGTGACAAACGAGCACACAGTCCACCTGATGGTAAGTGGTTGCTGTGACCCATAGACATCTACATCTATCCTCAATAAAAAATCAAAATGCAGATGCGTTGCCACCCGTGAGGACTAAGATGGAATGCCTCTTTTCCAGTACAAAGGGTCTCCGGTTCTCTATACTCACCATACGAAACACAGCAGTGTTAAGCCGCTATTTTACGCTGGTATTCTGTGAGAGTGTGGTCCTTCCCCGGTCCAGCCGACCCATTCGTGCTACAACTATACTACCAGTATAGCTGCAGCTTGGCTCTACCACGTAAAAAAGATTTAGAGTTGTCGGAAAGTGTTAATTTTTACAATTACATATAATTAATATACCAGCTCACTCATCATTAGTATACCACTCACAATTTTTTTTAAACAAAACTAACAACAAGTGATTAAATTAAAAATTTTGAACAACCGACATCAATATAAATTATTAAGGATAATTCAAAAATAACTGATCATTTTAAATTTATATGGGACCACATGAAAAGCACCAGCTTTCAAATAAAAAAAGAATCATCAAAATCGGTTCACCTAGAAAAAAGTTTTGAGGTAACGCAGATTAAAAAAACATACAGTCGAATTGAGCAACTCCTCCTTTTTGAAGTCGGTTAAAATTAGGCAATATCAAGAACCATATACGCACGCGACTTCACAAAAATATAGGTCGCGTTCCAGGTTTAGCTTTACATAAATACGTTCAGTAATAATTGACGGAGAGACGCTATGGAGCTCTAATCGAGAGAGGATCTGTGAACACTAATACTGTGAACTGTGAACTTTATTAACCTACTAGTGAACTTCGCTTCGCCTGGATAGAATCTGTGGCGATATTTACACAATAGAACTTTTTTTTAATTATAAGATATTTTTTTTTTTTTTTTTTTTTTTTTTATAGAATAGGGGGCAAACGAGCATGCGGCTCACCTGATGTTAAGTGACTACCGCCGCCCATGAACAACTGCAACACCAGGGGAATTGCAGATGCGTTGTCGGCCTTTTAGAAAGGTGTAAGCTCTTTTCTTGAAGGTTCCTAAGTCGTATCGGTTCGGAAAATTCGCTGGTGGTAATTGATTCCACAAAGAAGTTGTGCGAGGGAGAAAACTTCGTCTAAATCGCACAGTGGTGGACCGCCAATCATCCAGATGGTATGGATGGTATCGGGAGTTTTGTCGCGACGTGCGATGGTGAAATTGAGCGGCTGGAATTAGTCCGAACAATTCCTCAGAGCACTCCCCGTGATAGATGCGATAAAATACGCAAAGAGATGCAACATCTCTACGCAGTGCCAGTGTATCGAGCCGATCGGAAAGAACTCGGTCGTCGACGATTCGAATCGCTCTGCGCTGGATGCGGTCAAGTGGAAGGAGCTGGCACTGGGGTGCCCCGGCCCAGAGATGAGAACAGTATTCCATGTGGGGCCGAACTTGCGCTTTGTAAAGTTGCAAGCGATGTGCCGGCATGAAATACTGTCTCGCTCTGCTGAGCACGCCAAGCTTTTTAGAGGCCAATTTGGCCTTCCCTTCCAAGTGACCACGAAACTGCACGCTATTCGATATGTCGACGCCAAGGATTCCGATACTGGCTGAGGCAGCAAGGGGAGTGCCTTGAAACTGAGGAGATACGACAAAGGGGTTCTTTTTAGCGGTAAACGCGCAAACTTGTGTCTTCTGGGGATTGAACTGGACTAGATTTAGTCGGCCCCAATCCGAGACTTTGTTAAGCAAAGACTCGACTTCAGACACAAGTTTGTCCCGGTACTCGGCGACGTTTTCCCGAGAAATATTGGCACGGCCGGTATATAAGGCATCCCCAGTGCTGTCGTCTGCATAGCAATGAATGCTACCAGTTAGCAACATATCATTGATATGCAGGAGAAACAGCGTTGGTGATAGCACGCAGCCTTGTGGAACACCAGCGTTGATAGGCTTGAAATCAGAGCATGCACCGTCAACTACGACCTTGATGCTCCGATCAGCAAGGAAACTGGTGATCCATTTGCACAATTTCTCGGGAAGCCCATAGGAAGGAAGCTTCGAAAGAAGCGCCTTGTGCCAGACCCGATCGAAGGCCTTCGCTATGTCCAAACTAACGGCCAATGCCTCCCCCTTGGACTCTACTGCCTCCGCCCATCTATGAGTTAAGTAAACTAAAAGATCACCTGCTGATCGACCCCGACGAAAACCGTACTGACGGTCACTGATCAGCTGGTGATCCTCAAGGTACCTCATGAGCTGGTAGTTTATAATGGATTCCATTATTTTGGAGAACAAGGAGGTGATGGCGATAGGCCTGTAGTTGGACGGGTCTGAGCGGTCGCCTTTTTTAGGGATCGGGTGGACCAAAGCTGTCTTCCATGAATTCGGGACTACGCCTTGGGAGTAGGAGTACCGGAAAAGACGCGTTAAAACCGGTGCCAACTCCGGAGCACACGTCTTCAGCACAATGGGAGGGACTCCATCGGGCCCACTCGACTTGCTGACGTCCAGGGAGAAGAGTGCTTTGCGAACCGAGCGCTGTGTAAATCGCACATCCGGCATGGAGCACTCACATCGCGGGATGGTCGGCGGTGTGTTCCCCCCGTCATCTAGAGTCGAGTTGGACGCAAAAAGAGAGCACAACAGATCGGCTTTCTCTTTTGCGGCATGGGCCAGTGAGTCGTCCTCTCTGTGCAGAGATGGGAGGGATGGCTGACAGAAGTTCCCTTGGACAGCCTTGGCGAGAGACCAGAATGCACGGGTTCCCGAAGGAAGGCGAACTAGCTTCTCGCCAATTCTGCCGATGTGCTCAGACCTTGCCTTGGCAATGACGCTTTTGAAGGACCTGGAGGCGGAATTATACTTCTTTTTAAGTGCGCTGGTGTTTAAATCCCGAGACGTTGATGCGTCAGCCCAGGCCCGGTAGCACTCCTGCTTATAGCGTGATGCTATTTTACAGGAGCGACCAAACCATGGCTGGGATCTGCCTCCGATGGGCACCACAGAGGATGGAATAAAAAGTTCCATACCCTGAAGTACCACATCAGCAACAGAATCGGCAACAACACTGGGATCTTCCGGCGAGAAGCAAACCCGCCCCCAAGGGTAGGATGCAAAAAAAGACCGCATCCCGTCCCAATCAGCTGACCTATAGTGCCAAACACGGCGGCAAGCTGTAGATCGCAACTGCGATTGGAGCGTGAGTGGCACTGTGCTCCGGATCAGACAATGGTCCGAAGAGCCCAGAGGGGCATCGACGGAGACCTGATATCCGTCCGGATGAGAGGTCAGCAAAAAAGGTCCAACAGGGAAGGTACATGGTCTTCCACATCTGGGATCCGCGTAGGCGAAGTAACCAGTTGTGTTAGACCATATGCCAAAGCAAAGTCGTAGACAGATCTACCCGCATGATCGGTTGAACGAGAACCAAGCCATTCAGCGTGGTGGGCGTTGAAATCACCGAGTATCACGATCTCTGCGGATGGGACCTGTTGTAGCACGGAGTCTGCAGCCATTTGGACGTGGTCGATGAGTCGGTCTGTGTCGGCATTACCGCTATGGGACCTATAGAGGCACCCGTAGACGCGGGGATGGTCGTCGCTGTCTACGCGCAGCCATAGGATGGACAGGTCCGTACCTTCAAGGCTGCCGAGGCGTCGAAAACAGATGTCCTCTCTGACGTATACACAAACTCCAGCCCGGGGCACAAAGGAGTGTTCCAATTTGTACCCCGGGTAGGAGAGATATGAAGTATCAGCCGGAGAGGACACCTGAGTCTCGGTTAAAAAGAGCAAGGCCGGCTTCGCCGTCTCTAGATGGTAATGGACAGCGTTAAGGTTGGAATGAAGTCCCCTGATGTTGCAAAAATTCACGGATAGCGTGACAGGGGTCGCCTTGGTTGTATTGCTCCGCTTGCCCCGAGCAGCATTAGTCACGAGCGGAATTTTGCCCCCCCCAGAATACGCGGGGCAGCCTGAGCACCCACGCTCAGGAGTGAAGTAGTTTGTTCGTGGATGCTCAGCGAGGGATTCTCCAGGGTTGCTGGTACCCTCCTGGGGTAGTCTTGTATTTAATTCCACTACCATGTTGACGGGGGGGGGGGGGGGGGGGGAATTGGGCCTCCGGCCACCTGCACTCACCAAACGCAACGCAGAGGTAAACCTCTACTTCACGCTGGTATTCTGTGAGGTCGTGGTACCACCCCGGTTCGAGCTGGCCCATCCGTGCGACAGCAAAAGCTACCGCTTGGCTCTACCACTGTTAAAATGATATGATTAAAATGATATTCAAAGACCTTATTAATTCTTCGT